ATTTGGTCCATTTCAAACATTTGGCGATCATCTCCAAAAGAAATAGGCTTCTATTCTGACCCTAACCCCACCTTCGTGCAAAATTTCGTAAGGATCGGGCCATAATTGCGACCTGTAGCGTGATTACAAATTAACATGGACAGACGGACGGACGGACATACATAGCTAGATCGACTCAGCTCGGCGAGCTAGGAAGATCCATATATACTTTCCTATATGGGAAACCAATATTTCGTGGTGTTACATAAATTCTGGCCCAATCAAACTTATAATACCCCCAACACATAGTGTTGTAGGGTATAAAAACAAAAAAGGTTAAGTTTTGTGATGCTGAGATTCTCTGTCATAAGGGAAAATCCCATAGTTTCTAGACTTCGTATTTGTTTTATACTTCATATTATATATGTCCTTATTAGATTGGTTGTTACTGAATTTGAAAAAAAAATGGGAATTTCATTGAAAATTCCGACGAAAATCGTCAAAATGCAGAATATTGGAAGTTACATCTATCCAAATACAAATTTTTAGCCAATTCTATCATAGACTGTGGCTAAATTCACCTAATTTTTAGCATTTGTGGGGGCTACACGAAAACTTGGACCTATGTAGAAGATTTTCTGGTAGAGAGCTTTTAATGCGTTAAAAATCGGAATCGAACAATCATTTCGATAAGTAACAACGGAATGATAAACTTAATATACTCTCCATTGCATTGTGGAGAGTACAGCTACCGGTTGCATTTTCAGCGAAATATACATTTTTCCTAAAATTTATTTTGGTAAGATTTTTACGCACTATTTTAGTTCTTATCCATATAATCTGTGAGATAAACGTAGGACTTACCTAAAATTCACGGATCGAAAAAGCTCATCCCCATCACATTTTTTCTCAACAGCTTAAAACTGTCCTCCAGGTCTTTTTCTTTTTTCATCAAAACAATCACCGAGCTATTGCGAAATTATTTTTCACTCTTAACATCACATCGTTATTTGCAGCATAATTAAACAGCTTGAATTCCACACACATTTGAGATTATTTTATTTCTTTGCAAATATCTTACAAAAATTAAGTTACAATTTTTTTTTCGATTGACACAAAAATCAGAATAATTTTTTTTCATATCACTTTTTTTTTAATTTTTTTTTTTAATTTTTTTTTTTTTTTGAACAATTATTATTTGAAATTTTTAAATACCATTTTTTCAATAAGAACAAACGATAATGCCTTAATTGTAAAAATTTTATTGCAGGAGTTCTAATCTATAATTTACGACACCAAGCGAACAATTTGTTATATAATTTGCACGCACCATCCTCCCTAATTCCGAAATATTCCTATACTCTGTGTCGCCCTCTTCACTTTGTTGTATTGTTGAACTATACATATTAAAAAATGTTTTTCTTTAAATTTTAACTTTACAACTGTATTTATACTTCCATTTAATTAAACTTTTTATGTGTTCTACCTTATCCCAAGAAACTATGAACAGACAAACACAAGAACTGGTGGTATTTTTGCCACACTTCCGTGGTTACCAATTTACCTTATAATATTGAGTACGAGCTAAGTTGACAGTCAAATAAAAATCGTCATTTGCACTTTCTCGCTCTCTTTTCCTTATTATTTTTTTGAGCGACACAATTTGAATTTTATAATTCACACAACATTCTTTTAACATTCACTCCTTTGAGTTGTCATTTTTGTATCTTATACAAAACTTATTTTTTCCAATAGGATTATCCAAGCGGCCGTACAAACTATTAACTGACTAACAAAGTAAAAGTTAAGAATTGGCGGCATTTTTTGCCACAGTTCAGTGCTTGATAATTCGTCTTAACGCAGCCAAGGATTATTTTATTGACCATGAGTAACATATCCACTCGAACAAAAGCACTACACTCTCTCACTATCTCTCTTCTCTTTACCATTTGTTCAACGACACAAATTGTATTTTATATTTCACACAATTTCTTGTTATACGCACTCCTTTAAGTTATCATTTGTAAAAATATATTCATTCATTCATTCATTCATTTATATGCAGGTTATAAACTGTTATACAATCGTTAATTTCTTCCAATAGGATTAACCAACTGGCCGTACAAAAGAAAACAATGAACTGACAAACACAGGAAATGCCAAAAATTGGCGGTATTTTTTGCCACTGTTCAGTGCTTACCAATTTATCTCAACGCAGCCAAGGATTCTTTTATTGAGTACAATAATACAATAAGGACAGTCAGTGTGACCAGATCAAACAAAAGTGTTGCTGCTAAATAAATGTTAGAACTCCAAAAAAAATAGCATGATTCAAAAAACGTTTCTTTAATAAGAAAAAAAAAACAAAAACGTATATTTTTTAAAAAAATATAATCAATAACACCTTAAAAATATGTCTCATTAGAATAAAATAATACCATGACTAACAATAATAAGAAGAATATATTAATTGTAACAGCGTTGCCTGAAATTCGACGTAGCGCACACATGTATTCAACTTTCCCACCATGGTAAACTTTTTTTGTACGTCCGTATTACCCAAATACACTTGTAATGGATTGCTCTAACTCATTTTTTGAGTTACCGTCAAAAGTCTATAAAATTAAAATCTTAATAGTTTCGGTAATTAACGAAATTTGTCGATAAGTTAGCGATGAAATTAAAGTAGTCGCTAAAACAACCGATAGATACCAATGTTGTCAACTTAAACTTCTTGTTTATATCAAAATTTAGGGTTTCAAAGTTACCAATAACTCAAAACATGAGTTAGTGAAGCCCACTATAGGTTCATATCCTTAAATCTACCAACTAAAAACTTTGTGAAAATTGATAACTTTCAAAATTCTCCCAATTTCTATGTTTTCTAATTACAAACGTTCCCATTTTTTGTATTATTCATTTATATTTTCAACACACAAATAAAAGAAATTGTTTAATTGTCATTGTTGAAATTGTTCAACATTGAAATTCCATTTATCCGACTTATTTGGCTAACTCTCATATTAATACACGTGCTTTACTTGTGTGGTGAAAAACCTCTACGTGGAACGTCGCATTTTAGGTACCGCTGTAAAAAATTGAAGGTTCTTACATACATTCGTAGACACTGGTAGAAGAATACAGGTAGATGCATCAACGCTTGAGAACATTGAAATGTCAAAAAGAAATAATGATTTTTCAAAAAATAAGTAGATTTTTATATGTTTTATTATACGACGCCTATCGGAGTTTGTTAAGATATGCATTTTAAACAATTTTTACAAATTTGAATAATTTTTAATTCAAAATCTTCAATTCAAAAATTGGTTTGACAGTTCATTGTCCTAGCATTGCGACTACCTGCATTCTTCTGCCATGTCCTAGACTGACGGCAATCTTAATTCCTATTGAGCCACTTATTGCAGATTAATTCGTTCATTATCCCCGTTAATCGAATATGGCACCGCTGCCGAAAATCAATAAGCTGTTGACAAATTGCTTACATCTGAGAAAATCAAAATCACTGTTTTTACCAAATATTAATATTTTTATTTCCAGATGTCAAAATAGAATAGAAACCATGGTACAATGAAGAGAAGGTAGCCCAACTTTGAAAAAATTGCAAGTATAGAGGTCTACCTGTTTGACTTATAATGTCAGAATTGGTATCAAAACAATTAAAAATCAAACAACATGTTTTATTTATTTTGAATAAATAATTGAAAAAACGCTATAACTTAATGAAAGGTCAACACTTCTTTTCAAAATCATGTACTATATATCTCTAAAAGATTATTTCGCTACAAAAACTCTAAATTTTGTCGATGCATACGTTGAAATAAACATTTTGTAAACACCCGAATTTGAATGTTTTCTGAACATTTTTTTGTTATTGAAAAGAAAACACATACATAAACAAATAAAGATGACATATTAAGCCAAGAAAATAAAAAAAATTAAAATCATATGGTTTCATAGCCCTACCTTGATATCATTGTACCCATGGTACAATGAAGAGAAGGTAGGTCAACTTTGAAAAAATTGCAGGTATAGAGGTCCACCTGTTTGGCTTGTAATGTCAGAAATAGTATCAAAACAATAACAAAATCAAACAACTTGTTGCATTTATTTTGAATAAATAATTGAAAACCGCGAAAACTGAATGAAAGGTCAACACTTCTTTTCAAAACCAGGTTCTATATATCTCTAAAGGATTATTTCGCTACAAAAACTCTAGATTTTGTCGATGCATACAATGAAATAAACATTTTGAAAACATCCGAATTTGAATGTTTTCTGAACATTGTTTTGTTATTGAAAAGAAAACACATACATAATCAAATAAAAATGACATATTAAACCAAGAAAATAAAAAAATTAAAACCATATGGTTTCATAGCCCTACCTTGATATCATTGTACCATGATTTCAATGATGTACGTTTTTTAAAATTAATATTAATTAATTCATTTGTTAAAAATTTATTTGCTGCACAGCTGCACTTGTACCGGTGAACTCCATTTTTGATTACAAACTTTACTTGCGATGTTCTATTAACGTAGTTGATGCATCAATATTTGTAAGCAAAATTTGAATTTCACAACAAGTAGCATTTGTATACAACAAGGTTGTAATTTTGGATGGCATCACTTCTTGTGAATATAATTGGAATTTGACAGCACTTGGCATTTGTATGCAAAAGGGTTGTAATACTTGGTGGTTGATTTTGATTTGTTATTGAAGGTCTTATTTGCAATTACAAATAAATAGATGTTAAGAGATTAATTAAAATTTGCATTCATTTTGTTTTGGGGTTACATTTGTTAACAGCATTTATTTCCAATTCCATTTAGTACAATTCCAAATTTCGTCTAATGGGTTAATTATAATTGGCAACACTTAAACATAGCCAATAATTTTCAAATTCTCCCATACATGCTCATTCGTCAAATGTCAAGTTGTTGTTTGTTTGTTTTGGTCGTTGGTTTCGTTCTCCAATAAAATTTGAATTTTTTTTAGTATCACTTAGAGCTTGCTGCTATCGAACGGTTGTCTGCGCCCGCTTGTTTTAATAATATATTCGCGTAAATTTCTATTTTATGTTGTTGTTTTTGCATGATACAATAAAAAGCTTGTTGTGATTTTTTGTGTTTGTTGTCTAATATAAAGTGTTTGTATTCGTTCTATCAACACCGTCATTTTAATTTACGCATTGTCTCTCTTGATTGGTGGTGTGCATACAAACGTTTTCATTCTACTGCAATTTTTACATAACCGTTTTCACATTTACATTTTGTCTCATATGAAAAATTTCCGTTTCTGTTTTGTTTTGTACGGTCAAAGAGAAATTATGTGAATTCATTAATAAACAAGATTTCTTTCTTGAAACGTGTCACATTTAGAGCTGCTGTTGCCTTGAACTTGGAAGACGGTCTAACGACATTCGTTGCAGAACCACCATTTCAAACGTAATCTTTTATTTACACTGCCTACCTAATAAGCGATCAAACGCAACAATCTAAGTGCCATTTGTGAGTCTACGCCAAGTCTGACCTCAGTTTTTGTAGAGCAATTGTATTAAAATCAAATCTAAAATCATGTCGCAAAAACGTGCTGCTGGTCTTGTTGGAAAATTGGCCGAGAACCTAAAGAGCAAAGAATTCAGGGAATATTTGATGAGGTATGTATTTTATTGTAATCCTTTAAATATATGTGGCTAATAAGGTTTTTGTTTTAGCACACATTTTTGGGGTCCCGTTGCCAACTGGGGTATTCCAATTGCTGCTTTAGCTGATATCAATAAGGATCCTAAATTTATATCTGGCCGCATGACCCTTGGTAAGACCTTTGTTCCTCTATAGAGGAAATTCAATTAATGTGCGCATCTTAGAAATTACTCCATTTTTTATTGAACAAACGTCCAATTTCATTCGTAATAGTTCAGTTATCTTCACAAATTGCAATATTGTGTCAATGGTTTCACAAAAAAATCTGTTATTATTTAACTGTCCCATCTCTTAGGATTAAGTTATTAACTAACTAACGAACTCCATGTTAAGACATCGCTCAATACACAATTACATGTGGCTGACATATTTGTAAATAACGTACTATGTTCCTATCAAATATCATAGAAGTCGCATGCATATTTTGCTATAAATGTAAAGCCAAACATAACTCATAAATAGGTGCAATATCCAACCCGAATCTATTTCAACTATGGGTGCAAGCTTCAAATATATTTGTATCGAATTTTAACATTTTTGTCGAATTTCATTTGTCACAATTTATCTTGGCCTAGCAGACAGCGGCGACATTAATATGTCTGTCCACTTTTTTCTTATGTGTCGTTCCTAAATAGATAAAGCAATTCAAATTTGCACAGATTAAGTTGTATATAATTTGCAAACACTACTTCTAGCACATCGTCTCTGATTATTATTTGCTTGCTTTTTCTGGTACATTATCTATATTCATTAGCACCTCCAGCTGATAAGATTTTAAAATAAAAAAAATTCCTTTCCATTTTGAAGTCTAGTCACTCTTATCAAAATTAATACAATAAACTATTCAGCTCTTTTTAAATCAGCTCATTTTTTGCTCTAATAGATTCCCAAAAAAAAAAAAACCAATGCTTTTTTGTAGACGATCGTTAATGTTTACCTATTAATAAATTATGAACGTTTTAAACAGTTATCATTTATGACATTTAATTTGTTTTTGCAATTAATTGGTCAATTATTTCATTAATAAGAAGTCTGAGATTTGTACTTTTTTCTATGTATTGATATTGATGACCGGTGGTGAGGAATCACGCTTCCAATGAATGAATGAATAAGCATTTTGTGTCAATGAATCTATGTAAATAAGCAGAAAATCATTAATACAATTGATAAACTTAGCAGCAAACAAATGGTAATGATCATTAATAATTTGAAGAGCGAAAAACAAAAGTCAGGTTTAATGGTCTTTGTTGAAAAATATAATAACGGGGTACTTTTTGTGAATTTGTAATAGAATTTAAGAACGACGTAAACGAAAAAATTATTATATATCAAATTTTACTATAAGCTATTATATATCAGGAAAACCATTATATGTTTACAAGCGTACAAAAGCATTTTGGTGAGAATTTTCCAGAAAAAAATCTTATTCGTGATGGCGTAATAGTGTGATTTCTTTATATTTGGTTGGAAAACAACAAGTGGCTTTCGATAGAGCGCTCCAGCATTTAAATGTGAATAAATATTTTGTGTATCGTACCATCGTTCATTACCGTGATACTGGTAGCGTAGCCCGACGTCAAGGAAGTGGACGCAAGAAAAAAGCAACATCAGCAGAAATGGTTCGAAAAATAGAAGCGACTTGATCGAAACGCGCGTCGCAGTGGCCGAAAAATGCCCAGTGAGCTGAACTTATCACAATATTTCATTCGGCAAATATTGAAAAATGAAAAGCTATTGAAATTCCTAAAAGTGCAAGAACTTAAACCGCAACAGAAAGAAATTAGACTCAAAAGAGGTAAATTCGCTTGACCAAAAGTGGTGAACTGTCGAATTTGGTTTTCTCCGAATGAAAAAACATTCGTAGTCCAGCAGTTTGTAAACAAACGAAATTATCGTATTTACTTGCCAAAGAGGTCAGCTGAAAATGTGCTTCTTCGGTTGACCACCAGAACACAAGCGCCGTCCATGGTGATGGTGTGGGTCGCCATAACAGCTGATGGTCGCTCTCCGCTCGTATTAATCGACCGTGGCATTAAAATAAATATCGCGAAAATATTCTGGAGGGTGTATTAAAGCCTTGGGCACGCAAACATTTTGGCCACAGACCTTGGAAATTCCAACAGGGCTAAGCACCATCGCACTTAGCACGCGCCACCCAAGAATGGTTACAAAATGAGGTTCCTCGCTTCATTTCCAGCGCACAGTGCCCACCATAATCTCCGGATACCAATCCGTTGGACTATTGTGTCTGGAGTATTTTGGAAAGCAAGGTTGGCACTAAAAAATACCAAAGTGTCGATCAGCCCAAGCAAGCGCTTCGCCGGGAATGGGCCAAAATCCCGCAGAGCAACATTCGGCATTCAGCGTGTTACGGTTTCATTGGCCGTTTGAAGGCTATAATCCGACCAAAGTGACCAATTCGAACAAATCTAAACTTATTCTAAAATTTGCACAAATATAAACTTATTCTAAAATTTAAAAAAAAAAAAATGAAAATTATGGCTGCAGTTTTTTATCTCACCCTGTATGTCGTAAAAATGGTAAACATCAAAACCTTACCAAACGACTTTGTAATATTTCAAAACAATTTGTATGTGTTGAATCGGCGACGTAGTCATGGCCCCATTCCGAAATGTACAATTTTTATATATTTTAAAGCGCTAATTTCAGAATAAGCTACATATGTAGTTTTTAATTTTATAATCATTTGTCGATCTGAGCAAAAATACTTATTTTTTTAGCATGATCTTAACTAACCAACTATCCAAAAAAAATTATATATAAAGAAACTGGTTACAATGGAAGCAACACTCTATAACAAGTTTTACTATAAAATATTATGAACATGCGCATCAAATTTGTATATTTCCAATTAAAATAGAAATAAGGTTCACCATATGTTTATAGGATATTTTTAAGGTTAAGGTGAAATGTCAAGTGGCGTTGGCCGCCAATGTGGATAAAGCTTTAAAATAAAGTAAAAGAGGTATCGATGAAAATAATACAAAAATTGTTTGTGAACAACATTCAAAGATCTCATTAAACAACTAGTAAAGTATTGGAACTCTTTCAGCCTATGTCAATTCTAACAATTTTACTTCTTATTGAATTAGAATAATTTTCAAAATATGTTTCGTATCGCATTCATTTTCTTGCTCTTAATTATTTATTCTTTGTATTCTTTGTTTAATTAATTAACTATTTCCATTAATTAGTTTTCCACATTTGTTATACATTTCAGCTCTCACTTTGTACTCCTGCTGTTTCATGCGTTTCGCTTGGAAAGTTCAACCTCGCAATATGCTGTTGTTCGCCTGTCACATAACTAATGCCACGGCACAGTCGATTCAGGGCATCCGTTTTATCAATTACAACTATTTGACGAAAAAAGATGACAAACAAGTTGCGGCAGCATAAGGCCGACCAACAAACGCCAATTGTGAAGTAAAGCTACAAACAGGGACACAGATATATCGAACAATTTTTGTTTTGCTTCCTTTTTTTTTTTGAATTATCAATAAGACAATTGTACAAACTATTTTATTTGTGACAAAGACATAAGATAATATTTCCCGAGGAAATTTAACAACAACAACAAATATGCAAACTATTATCAACTGTTGATCGATCTAATCATTCTTCAGGGAATCACATCTGTTAATATTGTTTTGTAATTCATACGTACAATAACATTACATCTTCTTATATAGAATTACATTAAGCTACCTGCATAGATAATACGAAAACAAAATAAACAAATTTTTGAGTAGTCTTAAAATAAATAAATCTAATTGACAGACAATTGGTGTTATTATTGATATTGTAACGACAGCCGATATGGATTAAACGCACGCTATGTAAAATTGCACACAACGTTATTATTATGAAAAAATATACAACAGCAGCTATAAATAATGCAAAACAACCTTATTTAGAATATTAACAAAATGCATGCCTTGCGTTACATTATTTCAAAGTAGAATTATCTCACTTAGAAACAAAACAAGTCGAACTAGTCTTAGTTTAAATAAAATTAACAACAAGTGTCTGTTGTATTTTAAGGTGCCATTTCAACACAACACACACGTACACATACACATCTACATATGTGATAAATAAATAACAAGTGTTCTATAAACTATAAAATGCGTTTCAGTTAGAAAGGGAATTTTATAAAAATATAAAATAAAACGACAATGGGAAAGAGAAAGAGAGAGGCCAGATCGAGACAATTACATATTTACGCCGGAAGAGAAGTAACTTGTCGATAGAGTAAAACGAAAGAGACAATGCCTTGGATGCGAATTGAATGTTGTTGAAATATGTAAAAACAGAATTAAAGCAATTATGAACAATAATTCTGCGCGGAGAAAAAATAGGTATCAAGAATAAATGAAAAATAAATCTACCTTTCAAAAGCAAAGATAGTTTGCAAAGAAATTGAAATGTTTCTAATGAAAATCAGCCGCGTTATATATATCCAGCAATTTTATTGGTTTTGTTATCCAAATACACAATTTGAATTGGTAATTTTTAGTAAATATTTCATACAATTTCTGAGTTCCAAAATGACCGATATGACCGATTTCTGTACCAATGATTCTGGATGTAATTCAAAGACCAACAAAATTATATATAGCTTTTACAACATTTGGCCTAGGAACCCAAAACTAATATCACCACTTGGCATTTCTACAACCAAGACTGGATATTGTAGAGTGAAATTATAAGAAAATTTGCAGGAATTTGGAAAGAGTTGTTTGTCAGAAATATATAACTTTTTTTTTGAGAAAAACTCATGCTATTTTTATGGTATATATTAAGTATGTAAATTTTATTTGTTCAGAATCACACAATGAAATTTGATTTAGAATAATTTCTTCTTTAATACTTTCCTAAAAAAATAAAAAAAAGTAAGTATAAAGGGAGATTTTGACTCGGATTGAGCTTTCACTTTTAGTACATAAATTCTGATGGTAATTTTTATTACAAATATTGTACCAAGATATATGGTTATTCCGAGATTTATAATAAAATTTTGTATACAATATTTCTTCTTTTAACATCTTCCATCTCAAAAGAGATTTTATGTTATTTAAGACGTCAACTCGAAAAAAGTCTTAGGAAAAATTGATCAAAAGATTAGAGAATATTCTCGGAGTTTTTTTTTTCATTCTTCTAAAATTAAGCTTTGTTGGAGATTTTTTCACAAATTCAACAAAGTACGGCTTTGTCCCTAAAATGTTTTTTATACCTTCCACCATAGTATGGACTGTATATTAGGTTTTTATTCCATTTGTAACACATCGATATATAAATTTTAGACCCCACAAAGTATATCTATTCTTGATCAGAATCAAATTGTTCGTGCAGGTCCACGACTTCGTATAACGGCACCTCACGATATTCGGTATTTTCATGATTTTAGCGATATTATTCACAGGAATTGTTTCAAGTTTGGTATTTGAAATTCGTAATGAATTCTACAACCTAAGACAGAAAATTGGGGGTATTCAAATTTCGGCCGAACTTACAGTTTTTTTACTTGTTTTTTTTTTAATTATATTCATTCCTGAAGTTTAGGTAGGATTTAGACTCTATAGTAGAATTTTATGACAAATAATTTTATGGAATATTTTGACTTGCACGATCCCATTTAAAGATAGATTTTAGCCACATTTAAAAAAAGGTCCCCCATGTTGATTTGTTTGAGAGTAAAAATTGTCCACCAAAATATCCTTCCTATTTTTATCTACCATATTGCAGAAGACAATATACACCTAAAATGCACGGATTCCGGGGAATATTTATGCAAAAATTCCCAAAAGAGTGAAGGGGGGGGGGGGGGGGGGGGGAACCCTCTATTTTGGTTATTTTTCGATGTAAACTTTCAACATTAACACAGTCATTTCTATAAAAAGTTTGAAACTTACCTTCACACTTTTCCTCCTTAATGAATAAAACAACCAAAATTTAAGTTTTTTTTTTCATATAATTATTTATTTACGTTAAAAAATTTAACATTTTTCTATAGATTTAAATAATCTATTCTGTTTTTAATTTAAAGACATTCTACAAGAATGCAAATATTACGTTTTTTACGTGTTGTTTTGTTTTATTTACCTTTTTGGTTTTGTTAATTTTGTGTTTATTGTGTATTGTTGTTGTTCGTTATAAAATGGATTTTGCTTGGTTTTTTTTTTTAAAGTATGAAAGAGGTCATCAAAGTATTTGTTTTCGTTTACTGTTGTTTTTATATAAATATATATTCGTTTTATAAGTTAATTTTTCAGTTTAATTGCATTATTCACAATTGATGTACTTTTGCCTTTGTTGTTTTGTGTATAAATGGTTTCTATTGCTTATTGTTAAAATTGCATTATTTTATTATTATTTTCATCCAAGTACAAAAGATTATAAATGTTTTTTATATCATAATTGTTTTTTTCTCCATTTTTTATATTTCTTCAATTGACATTAATTGTTTGTCCTAGTCAATTTTTTTTGCTTTCAATATAATATAATTCTATTTAGAATAAAATTATTAGTTCATAAAATTATCAAAGCCAGTGAAGTTTTCGCGAAATGGTAAACAAATTAACAAATATTCAATTTTCAATGGCAATGATCTTAGTTTTGCATCACAAGATCTATGTCATTTACACAATTTTGAATAGAAAAGTAAAGATCTCCGCATAAAATGCCATGTAACCTTTCTAAAGATAGGGGAAAAATTCAAGTCACATATTTTTAAAAGGTTTTATTTAGCTCACCCCGTTTGTTTTATTATTTATTCTTAGGTCAAATTTAGTAATTCAAATTTCACCATCTTCCTGACAACCGATTAATCTGACATTTTGTATACACTTTTGATTTTGGTGACAATCAATATGGGTATCAAATGAAAGGGCTCAAAAAGCAGAATACAATATAATATAAAAAATTGAAATCCAAAATGGCGGCAGCTACCAAATTGACGGATAACGTAGGTTTTATCAATCCCATCAATATGGGTATGGGTAAAAACCAAAAAATAATAAAAAATAGATACAGTCGTGGGAATTATAAACATATGCATAGACTTGACTGAAATAAAACCGAGGGGGCTTTTCAATTGCATATGCATATTGTAGAGAATTGACGTGCCCCACGGTTTTATTTTAGTCAACGACTGTATCTATTTTTTATTTTTTGGTTTTTAGTACATTTTTCTTAAACATTGCAATGTATGTTTAATATAAAACCTTTTAACTTAAAAAGTTTTTTACCCATTTTTGTTATTATTAAATAATATAATGAAATCATTAAAATGATAAATAAAACTTAAAACCAAAGCTGTCTTCTTTTACTAGTTGAATGAAAATAAATATAAGCAATATTCTTTTGAATAGCCAAACGTGGGCTAATTCTTGGCAAAGTTGTTCTAAATTATAAATTCGGCATGCACGGCTTAACAAATGCATAATGGTCAGGAAGAGCGTTGGGCCCATGCCCTTCGTGGACTATACCAGATATGGAGCTCTATCGAACATTTTTGTAAGCCACTCGTCCGACAGCTGTTAAAATTATTCCAGCGACAGCTCATTATGTTGTTTACAAGAGTACAAAAGCATTTTGGTGCGAATTTTCCAGAACAAAAGTTATTCGTGATGGAATTCAAGCGTGATAGTGTGATTTCTTTATATTTGGCTGGAAAACCACAAGTGACTATCGTTAGAGCACTCCAGCATTAAAATGTGAATAAATCTTTTGTGTCTCGTGATACTGGTAGTGTAGTGTCCACATCAAGAAAGTGGACGGAAGAAAACAGCAACATCAGCAGAAATGGTTCGAAAAGTAAAGAAGCGACTTGATCGAAACCCGCGTCGCAGTGGCTCCAGAGCTGGGCGTATCGCAATATTCCATTCGGCAAATATTGATTGAGCTCGAGGTGAAGCCATTGGCATTCCAAAAAGTACAAGAACTTACACCGCTACAGAAAGAAAATAAACACAAAAGAGCTTCGCTTGGCCGAAAGTGGTGAACTGCCGAATTTGGTTTTCTCCGATGAGAAAACATTCGTTGCCCAGCAGTGTGTAAACAAACAAAATATTCGTGTTTACTTGCCAAAGAGGTCAGCTGAAAATGTACAACTTCGGTTGGCCACCAGATAGCCGATGTGGGCCGCCATAACAGCCGATGGTCGCTCTCCGATTATTATCGCGAAAATATTCAGGAGGGTGTATTAAAGCCTTGGGCACGCAAACATTTTGGTCGCAGACCTTGGACATTCCAACAGGACTAGGCACCATCGCATGCGCCACCCAAGAATGGTTACGAAATGAGGTTCATCGCTTCATTTCCAGCGCACAATGACCACTAAAATCTCCGGATACCAATCCGTTGGACTATTGTGTCTGGAGTATTTTGGAAATCAAGGTTGGCACTAAAAAATACCAAAGTGTCGATCACCTTAAGCAAGCGATTCACCGGGAATGGACTAAAATACCGCAGAGCAGCATTCGGGCAGCGTGTGACGATTTCATTTGCCGTTTGAAGGTCACAATTCCTGGCAAAGGTGACCAATTCGAACAAATCTAAACTTATTCTAAAATTTGATGCTATCTCCGACATTTTTTTTTTCATTCAATAAAATTTAAAAAAAAAAATGTAAAATAATGGGGTTTGACCATGTTGCACCCTGTACATTCTAGTGCTTGCCCCTAAATAACTAAAACGTTAATAACATTTTCAAATACATATTTCATAATTCTAACATTTTGCCACAAAATGTTATTTCTGAATTTCTTCTGTTTTTTATCTTTGCTTTAATTTATCATTCGTCATGCCGGATTGTTTAGTTTTGACAAGTGGATAATTTTTGTTTGTAGGGAAAAACTGGTTTTCATGAAAAAACGATGGAGCAACGCTTTGTTAATAATGGGTTTCGTCAATTGAGAAACAACTAAGATTTGCAAATTTGATATGCTTTGTTCCAAAACAACAAGAATGTCCAAGTTTTTTTTTTACAACCGACTTCCCCTTTATGATATCGAAAAAAAGATTGCAGGTTCTGGAGCAAAGCAATAATATTCACATGGCATTAAATATGGAGTTCTCTGCCCTTATTTCACACGATATTTAAACCTGATAGGCTTTATAACAATTTTTAAAACAAACTATAAAATAATTAAATCCCCAACCACATACCTCGGAAAACGAAAACGGAAAAAATAAAACAAAATAAAATATTTCATCATATAAAAACTTGTTTTTCATTTATTTTTTATATATATAATAATTTGTCAAGATTTTTAACAATAAAAAAGTTAGGGGGTTGATGTTATTTTTTTCTGTTTGTTTTTGCTGAATATGTTTTGCAATAAATTTCTTTCTTAAGATTTTCTACAAAAAATGTGTTTCAGTTTCAAAAAAATAAAAGTACAATATGGTATAAAACAAAAAATAGTTAAATCAATGTAATTCGTTCTACATGTTGCAGGTGTTGTTGTTGTTGCTGTTGAGTTTGTTTGTTGGCTATTTTTAGTTGTTATTTGAGTTTGTGTTGTTGATTTACTTCATTTTTTGAAAACAAATTATTCAAATAAAAAAAGTGAATTGATGGTGGTGGCTTAATGTTGTTGTTGACTGACGTTTGTTGTTGCTGTTTGTTGGTTGTTGTTGGTGTTTGATGGTTGTTTGGAAAAGAGCGACGTTACTTTAAGCGGTTTATTTTGTTTGTTAAATCTGTATATTGTTTTAAATCTTATTATTAACAATCTGTTTTTTATTTTCATCCACACATTACATGCAAATAATAGTATGCTTCTTCATCTTCTTCGTTTTAATAAATTTTAAACACATTTCTTTCTATCGGAATATTTTTCTTGTTTCTTACTATTGCAATGTGAAAGCATTTTGTCGACAATAAAATTGCTTACGGTTTACAAAAAGTATTTAATTTTTTCCAGTTTTTTTTTATACTAAAAATAGTAAAATTATATAAAAAAGCGTTGATGAAAAATAAAAAAAAACAATAAAAAAACAAAAGTATGTATATAGTATTATAAAATCGAACTATTGTAAATTAATTATTCATATATAGTGTGATTCTTTAAAATCTATCATGATTTTCATTACTAAGAATAACCACAAACTCTGTTCAAACAACAATGTGTTGAATGATTCACTACCCCAAAAGATTTCAATAAAATATTTTAAACAATTCCGAGCGATTTTGAATAATTTCTCCTTCTAATCTAAAATTATTTCTTAAAAGGAATCGTTTTATTTAAAGAAATTTCCCTGCTCGTTTTCAAGGCACATTTTTATGGGGAATTTTTAATTATTCTTTTTTTAATTGTATTCTTGTAAATGTAAATGTAAATACCGAATATCGGGAGGTACCGTTATATGGATGCTATACCAAAACGTGGACCTATACATACAATGTTTCGCCACCGGAGCTAGAACCCATTATGACTAACAAATACCAATTTTTAGACAAATCCGGGAAAAAATGTGGCAAAATCATCAAAATACCGAATATCGGGAGCTACCGTTATATGGAGACTACACCAGAACGTGGACCCATATATCTCATTTTCAATACCAAGCGTCCTAGACACAATAGAAATCGTTCTGCTAAATTTTGACGCTCTACGACAGACGGACATCGTTAAACCGATTTAGAATTTTAGTCTGAATAAACTTGAAATTTTATCTAAAAAATAAAGGAAAAAAAACTTCCTTAAATGAAATAACAAAGAAAGCTGCGAATACTTTCTCTTTTCTTTAAAAAATTTTCCCCAATTAAATAAATATATTACCTTCATTTTCTTTTGAGTTTACATACTCAGATATCCATGTTCTATGATAAGAGCAGAGTTCAGTGGTTAATCTTAGAGACATGACAAATTAACACAAATGTAACTAAAATTATTGTATTTTTTAAAAAAAGAAACACAATAATTATAAAAAAAGAATTATAACCTAGATTTTAATTAAACATAATTAAACAAAGTACACACAGAAAAAAGTCAATTAAATTTAATATTCTTAAAATTATATATATCTTTTTGTTAAAGAAGTTGAAACAAAAGGCAATTTCTATAAATTATGGAAAAAGTTCTCTTGCTTTGTGTTTTCCATGATTAGAAAAATTCAAAAGTAAAAAATATTGTCCTTTTTCTCTTTGTTTGGATTTTTGCTAAACGCTATCTTTTTTTGTTGAACCTTGTTGATGATGCATGACAGTGGGGGGTTTGGTTTGTTGGGGTTAGGAAGATGAAAGAATTTTGTTTTGAAATATACGCCATTCTTTTTGTTTTGATTTTGATTTATTGTTTATGATTTTTTTGTTTTGTTTTATATTTGAAGCCAAACATGAGATTTTTTGTTTTTGGATTTGTTGTGATCTTAAGGCCAAATTTCAACCTGGAAAATATTCAAAAAGATAAATTTTCAATATTATTGAAAAACAATAAAATTTTGAATTTTGTTAGAAAACAAAAAACCAAAAATATAACAATTTAGAAAAAAAGCCAAAATAGTTGATGTTTTGTTTTTTTTTTTTCTCAAATTTATTTTGTGTATATTTCAATTGTTTTTTTTTCTTTATTTTGCCAATTTATAATATGATACATTTACAATAGAATTATTCTTTTATATTAATTTAGTTAAATTAATTATTTTTTTTTAATAATTATACAATTTTTGTTGTTGATTTTTATGTTATACGTACGCAGTCTATAAGATGATGAGTCTACACAATATATAATTTTTAATTATTTGTTTGTATTCAATTTTAAAGATATATTTTTTAAATATTTTGTTTAAATGATGGTATACATATATAAAATAATATTAATCACAATTTGTTTAGAAGAAAATAAAACATATATATATAAAAAATATACATTGTAAGGTGACGGGGAAATGGTTTATGACGAAGTGTTCATACCTTAACACAAATGACACAGGAGCTGATGAGGGAGAGCTCAAGAAGCCAAATTGGAATTTTAAGATTTTTGTACTTTAAGCTTTGCATTATAAATTGAGGTGGCAAAAATATAATATAATTTAATTGATTTAAACAATCGAACCGTGAACTTGTCGAAAATGCCGAAAAAAATTCAATTGAACCATAAGAATTATCAGGAAGTTCTTTTAAAAGTACATAAATCCTGAGTGGAGAATTTCAATGGAATTAAGTAAATTTAAGTTTAAATATTAAAAAATATTTCAAAAGTTATAAGAAAATATTTTAAAATGTGAATATCATCAAGCAGTTTTGAATGTAGAATCTACTTAAAGATAGCGCTTTCAAAACATTTGAGGATTTTTGAAATGTCCAGTCCATGTGTCATTTGCCTGTTTGCATTTTTTCACCTTACAATATTTTTTAAATTTAATATTAATTTTAATTATTAAAAAAATATGAAAAAAAGAAGACTTTACAAAATAACTAAAACTTAAAAAAAAACAATTACATTTTTCATTATTACGCTTTTTGCAACTTCATTTAGTTTTTAGATTCGTTTTGTCAATTTTTACTTAATTTTGTTTAATTTACAATTTATATTTTTTTAATGTTTACAATGTATATAAGTTGTTAAATATTTTGCTAAATTTAAACTTAAACAGAAAAACAAAAAATATATATTTTTTTATATTCATGTATATATAAAATATTAATATATTCAAAAGACATGAATTTTTTTTACTTAAATCTTAAAAATTTGCCAAACGTTTTCTTTTCCCAAACAAAATAATTATTCTTTTTTTCTCGCTAAACAAATAAGGGTTACAATTACTAATGATTATACAAACAAAAATATATATTAATATATGTAAATTTTAGCATTAAAAAAATATTGGTCTTAAATCCTTACAAAATATTATAATTTTTTACAACGAATTTTTCTTTTTTCCAATATTATTGACTGCGCAAACTTAAATTACAAAAACAATTACAAAAAACTTAGAATAGTAATAAAAGTAACAATAAAAAACTTAAAACCAATTGTTTTGTTAAATACAAAAAAATAAAAGATCAGTACAATTTTATAATTAATAATAAAAATAATAATTAAATAAAAATATATGCAATTATTTTTATGGGGTTGTAAAGTCACCAAAAAACTTTACTTTGGCGGACAAGGAAAAATAAATTAAAAGATTTTTTAATTCAAATAAATCAATCAACAACATCTTTAAAAGTTCAATTAAAATCCTTTGTTCAATGACCAATTAACAATAGCTTTACATTTAATGAAAAAGTCAATTATCTTCCATACTTGAAGTCGAATAATCCAAGCTAGTGAAGCAAAACATTGACGTTACCCTCCAAATTTTGATTCGAATAACCTTTTTTAGAAAATTGGAAGCAAAAGAATATTTCATTCACCTTAGTGAAACAGACCAATAAAGTTTTTCACTGCTTTTAAAGGATTTTGAAAGATAACATTAGATTTTCTATTCTATGTTTTCTTTAACTTATTGTCAATTGATTTTTCTTATTAAATTTTTCGTTTTAGTAAACCTTTTTTTCCTTTTCCTTATCCGTTCGTTAGATATTTTCCATAATCGCAACGTTATAGAAAAGAACTCTTTTAAGAAAACAAACTCCAACAAAAGAGAAAAAGAACAAAAATTTTTACAAACGAAAAGGGTAACAAGGAAACAAAACAGGTAAAGTGTAAATTTCTAAACAATTCAAAATATAATTTTAATAATTTATACAAATTTTTTAGTTAAATTTATAAAAAACAATATTGTTGTTGGTCTGATGAAGTTGCCTTTTGACAAAAACAAAATAAAAATAATAATTTTAGAGGGAAAACAAGCCAGTAGGAAGGAGCTTAACAGGAGTTATGACAGTTTACTTCAATTTCTTACTTTAGATTTATAAAAGGGGGTTCAATATAGTTTGCCTTTTTAAGTGTTATTACAACTTTTATTAAAATGTGTTTTTTTCTTTTACTAGGGGGATTAGTACGAGTTTTATATTATATTATTATTTTTTCTTTATATATAAATCTATTTATTTAATTGTATATAAATTGGGGAGAGGAGTATAAATTTAATTTTTGTTTGTTTTTTGTTACTTCTTATAAAAAATATTATAAATTTTTTTATATTTGCTTTGAATTTGTCAAAACATATACTTTAATTTTTGCCCTAACTTTTCTTCTTATAGATATAGAGGGAAGAGTTTGAAAAAAATACTAAGATTTGTTAAGAGTTTTGAATTAATTTTGATTTTTTTTTTGTTGAACAAAAAAATTAAAGCATGGTGTTTTTAAAATGGTAAATATTATTTTATATGTTTTGTTTTCTTTTTAATTTTGTTATATAAACGCTTTAATAATTTTTGTTGGTTGTGGTTTTCTAGGCATTTTATTCTCACTGTTAAGTTTCCATATATGTTGTATATATTATAATATTTGTAATACAGAATTTTTCTTGAAGTTTTCTTAATTAAAAAAAAAAGAAAATTAAACTGAATTCATGTTTTTGTTAATTTCGTTCTGTTGTTAAAAATTCTTAATCTTAAAATTATTGTGTATTTATTTGTGTGTGATTTTTTTTTGTCGGTATGGTTTGTTGGTTATGTGTATGTAACTGTGTGTTTGTTTCTGTAATCAATTTTATATTTCTTTACTTTCAATTTATATGTGATTCTATGGTAAATTTCTATTTAAATGGCTTAAAACAATGGTATTTATTGTTTCTATATAATTTGCAATTGTTATTTTTGCTTTATTTTATATTTGTTGTTGTATGATTAAATAGGATACGTTTTGTTTAAGGAGTTAAAAAAGTTTTGTTTTTATTTATTTTTATGTGTATATATCTAATGTTTTACCAATCCTCAATTCATATTATAGTTGTAGAGAGATAGATGATAAGAATTGTTTTTTTTTTAATATTATCAAATTGAGCTTTATAGATTTCATGTTGTTTTTTGTGTTTCAATTTCTGTAGTTTTGAAATTAATGCTTTTTACGTCATTTTATAATTTTGGATAAAATCTTAAAATTATATATATTTTTAAAATATATGTCTGTGTGTTAAATTTAATTTTTAATTAAGGCTATAGATTAATTGGAAAATTTGTTTTTCTCTTTAATTTGTTTATCTGACAATAATTATTTTAATGTGTATGTATTTTGTTTATTTTGTAATTATAAATTTTGCGTGTTTATTTTGTTAAAAAAGAAAATATTTTTTTTATTATTTATGATTTGTTTGTATTTTTAACTGATTACTTATTGTGATGTGTATTTTAATTCGTTGCAAATGAGTACGGCTTAGTTATTTTATATATATCAAAATTTAATTTTAGATTTTTATTATTTACGGTTTTTATGCTTCACACAATGTTTTTTGAACAAAACGGAAATTATTTTATATTTTTTTTTTTTGAGAGAAAACAAATTTGGTAAAAAACAAAGTAAGAAAAAATAAACAAACAATAGTGTGCCTTAGATTCTAATCAATTATATAAAAGTTAACAGTTTCAATATTTCCAAATTAAAAAAATTTCCAATGCTTATGAAATTTGTTTTATGTTTTTAAGGATACTGAATTTGTCAATTTAGGCATTTTTGATTTACTTTAGAATTGGCAACTTCTTTTGAAATCGGATTTATTTGGAATTAATGTGGGAATAAATAGTATTATCTTTTATGGATATTACCAAAAATACAATGATCTCGATAAAATTTAGCAAAGGTATTTCTGAGTTGTATTTGATATATTTCCCCAAATATCGTTGTTACAGAGCGCATATTACGGCTGCGGAGGACAAAAATAACAAATCGGATGAACAATATATGTGGGAGCTTTATGTATATCTGAATCGATTTCCATAAAAATTGGCATACTATTTTCAGGCCAATTTGGTCGTATGTGCAAAATTCCATACTATTTGGCCTGATATTACACGTTTGGTGCGCAATAAAAATCAAATCGGACGAAGATATATATGGGAATTTCAATAGGGTTCGCCCTTGGGTCAAAATAAAAGACTTGTGCAAAATTTCATCTTGATCGGGCAATAAATGCGACATGTACTTTGTTTACAAAAATACATGGACAGACGGACGGACATGCATAAATCGTCTCAGAATGAGATTCTATGCAGATCATCAAAAGGAACTTTGGGTCTATCTCGTTTCCTTTTGCTTGTTACAAACAAATGCACAAAGACATAATACGCTGACCACTTTGTGGTGTAGGGTATAAAAACTAGTTTACTATAAAAAACTAGTTAATTATAATTCTTTAACTTTGAGTCTACCAATTTCATGCTTTATGTGAAAAATGTGTTGCATTGTTTTAGGCGCAATAAATGTTGTATGCCTTTTAGGAAAGCGTACTTTTTTAGTTCAATTAAATTTGTGTTTTTATATGTTATTTCAAAAAAAAAAAATAGATACAATATTGGAAATTTCATTAAACATTTGTTTCGTATAATAATATTTAATCTAAGGCACATTTCAATGATAGATGGGACCAAAAGTTCTATAAAAATTTTGACAGATATAAATGTTAAGGGCAACCATGAAAAATATCCAGGCCAAGTGATTTTGAGTTTATTTTGGAAACAATAGAGAAACATTTTTCTCCAGATAGTTGTTGGGGGAGGCTGGACGGTGTTTATTTTCTACTGTAGTTTTACAAAATGAAAGAAAACGGGGAAATGGGGGAAATATAAAAATAATTGAAACAGTAATCCAGTATTTTACAATCAAATTGTGTTGTTGTTTTTTACATTACTGTTGTTATTGCAATGCTTAATTGTATACTAATTAAAACGTTAATATTCTTTATATTTCCTTTGTCTTTCGTTATTGTTATTTTTTCTGTGTTAAGTCAACATTCCCTCAAATTCCTTACAAAAAGTCCACTGTTTGCTTATTTTTTATCTGACAGCTTCAGTTTAGTATTTTGCAGTTGTTTTTAACTTTCTTATCAATATTTTTTGTTAAATTTTATGTTTTTCTTGTCATCTTTTTTGGGTTTATAAAAAAGTAATTATGATCAATGCCTATGATTGAAAAAGTTTTCCTTGTTGTTTTTTTTAATTCAATTTCTTTGAATTCAGTCAATAATTTGTGTGTGTTTTTGTTGTGTCTTAAATATAAATAAATTTTGTTTTACTTTTTGTGTCTTGTTGGTTTTTTTGGTTAAGCTTTGCTTAGATTTTTTTTGAAATTGATTTTTCTCTTTCGTTAGTTTTTTTTTCATGGAAAGGTTAATTAAAACAATTGAGACCAAAATAATTCAAAGTAATAAAATATACTCTTTTGCAACTCATAAGATAAGACGTGTGTTTAAAAAACAATGTTTTTTTTTTTTTCTTTAATTGTGTAAAATGTTTTTTTTTTAATTTCTTTAATATAAAAAAGTGCTTAAAATTGTTTCTTATATAGTTTTCTGGGATTAAAAATTAAGCTGATTTTTTGTGGTTTCTACTTTATTGTTATTTTTGTTATTATTATTTGAGAATATAATAAAAATGTATTATGTTGTTGTAATTAAATATGTTTGCTTTTGCCATCTTTTTTAAAAGGAGGACGCCTGTGTTTATATTTTCCCATTTTCTTGTGTTGCAAATTCCTACTGATTTTTGTTTTGTCAACTTTTTGCGTTTGCTTAATGATAGAAAAATGTACTGTTATGTTGTTATATATTTGTTTTTGCATGTTTGTTTTGTTGCCTATCGTATTGCTTGTGTTGTTGTTGTTTTCTAGAAACAAAATATAATAATTATTGTGTGAAGTTTTCTTCTTATTGTTGTAGCCATTATTATGAAATTTTATAATAATATTAATTTTTATTATATATATATATATAATTTCAAGAGGGTTATAAATTTTGTTGTTGTTTTTTTTTTATAAAATTTTGTGTGAGTTTTGTTTTTAATTTATTGATTTTTTGAATATTTTTATTTTTTTAACTCCATGCAGAAAACGTATCCGTATACCATTGTTCGCCATTAGTGCCTAATGGTTGTTGTGGTAGTGGTAAACTGCCCCAACTGCCGCCATTTCCTATTAAACCGCCTGGGTAACGTCGCTTAATGTCTGCTGGATTTTGGTGACCTCCATCAAATTTACGTTTACCGACTGGTGCTTTAGGAATGGAATGATGAACAGTTGTCAAAAATGTATGGTTTTACACGTTACAGGTTGTTTGGTTGTCATCAGTGGTTGGAGTTGTTGAATTGTTTTTGTGTTGTTGACAAAATCATTTAAACAAAAATAAAATAAAGAACACAGGGCAGTTATTTTTTACGAGGCAAAAGTATCGCAGATAGTTGTATAGCGGTTTATTTTTGTGGGTTGAAGGGGAATTTTCGAAACAATATTTGGTAGTGTGGCAATATGGGGAGAAACAGAGAAAGAGAGAGAGAGAAAGAAAGAAAAAGAGAGTAGACAAAATATTTGCAAGATTAATTGTTTGCTATTTCGGAAAAAATGTAAATTTGGTTTTTAATTAATACATATTGTCTTTTTTTTTTGTTTAGAAATACATTTTTTATATATAAAATATCTCGGTTAATAATCATTACATTTGGTTATAACAGTAAATGGAATTATAAAATAAATAAACCATATAAATAAATAAAACCAAACAAAACATTTAAAAATAGGAATATTTTTAAAATGGGAATAATATTAAATAGTATGAAAAATATTTATTTTATAATACGAAAAATTAAACAAAAAATCACATTTCATCAATCGACAAAAAAAAAACTGCAAATTATTCAAATAATTACGATTTTTTTAGATGTGTTAATGTTGGGATATTTTATTTGTTTTGATTTATAGGGTTTGTACCCAAGGCATATTTGTGATGCCCTATATATATTGCATAAGATGCAACAATTTTATAAAAACACTACTAGAAAAACCGTTTTAAATGGAATAAATCCTGAAATAAATTCAGATAAAATATTTAATCCATTGCTAATTATATATAATATACCTTGGATGTATTGAAAAAAAAAAATTGTTACCTAAAATTTAACGTAGCGTACATAAATATTCAACTTCCCCACTATGGTAAAATATTTTATACGTCCGTATTACCCAAATAGGGCAGGTTCATATATTTTACAATCTAACAACTAATAACGTTGAAAACTGGTAATGTTTTAAAATGAACCCATTTATTTTCCATTTTATTTTCAACAAAAAAAAAATATTTTTTTTTTTAATTTTCAATACTGATAAATTGTTGCACTTTGAAGTTTTGTACGCTCTCTTATGTTTTTGTAACTAGGGTACGTGGTGGTACGTACGAAAGTCCACTTTTGTCTTCAACAATGGATATTTCAATTTTGTCCAATCATCTATGAATTGAATTTGACCTTTTAATACAAATTGTACTTCGATTTTTGATTTTTAAATGGAACAGATAATTTTTTTGAATAGAAAAATTAAAAAAGGTGACCAGAATATTCGACCAGGTATAATATATGCCGGTCAAAAACTTTTAGAAAGCAGTAGATAGAATCAAAAATCTGGAGGGGCAATAGTTCCAGAGTAGATCCTACTTTCTTTAAAACTTGACATTCGAGAGACAAAAAATATGAGAAGTAGCGCTGACCGAGTTACCTAATACATATGATTCTTATGCCATTTCCAAAGACAATATTACTTATCATTTAATGGATACGACATCAAAAACTAGAGGCCGAGTTTATTTAAATTCGTGAATTATTACCAGTTTTGATGAATATATAAAACATTCATGGGTCATGTTTACTCCAATACTTGTTAGCGTGGTAAAATACTTGATACCATGATCGTTTTTTTTTTTCTGTTAATTTTGTACATATGTCGAAATTATTGTGACAGACCAATGGTTATGGAAGAGGGAGTGTTTGTATGTAAACATAGTATAATTTTAGGCGGTTTCTTCATCAAAAAAAATCATATTTCATTCCTTCAGCCCTGAGCTAAAAGTTGAGATAATATATGATTTGTGGAGGTAATATGTACTCCTTGATTTTGAGAATTAAATTTTAGAATTTAATAACATCTCCCCTGTTGAAATCCATTGACAACTATACAAATTAATTAAAATCCCTTAACTATTTTACAATTCCGCGTTGTTATTTTTGCAAAATGTAATAAATTTATTGGAATGAAAAGTTTATTTAAAACATAATTTAAATAATAGAAAAATTTACATACAAACAGAAATTTTGGAGATGTGAATTCAATTAAATACGTGTAATTAACAATTTATTAAAATAACAAAGGGATGAAGTGAGGTGACGAATAATAGACAAAAAAATCAAACAAAAATTATGAATGACAGACAAATGAAACAATAAATGAAAACATGAAACATAAAACTAGTTTTTTGTTTGTTTTTTTTTTTTTTGAATTTTAATATAAATAGGGAAGAAGTTTTTGAATTTCTATATAAATATAAAAATTAATAATATTTCTCGTTTATGCAGTAAAATAAAGTAAGGAGGAATGGGAGAATTGTTTCGATTTGTTTCCGTTTCGAATTTTTTTGTTTGTTGGAATTTTTATTCGGATTTCAGTTGACTAAATTCTTTTTGAGAAATAATATATTGCATGAAATATAGATAGATATTGATTGTTGTTCATATTCAATTTCATTGAGTCGTCAAAATACGTTCATTGTATTTACGCTTGGACTCCAATTGATGCTATTTGTAAAATATCAAATGAAAACAAAATTAATTAATTAATTTAATGTTCGAAGAATAATAAAAAAAAACAATTGGTTTCAAAATCTACTGTGTTATTTGAAAGGGAATTTGCGAAATTACGAGATCTTCGATAAGTCTTATTAAAGAAAAATAAATTTAACTAAAGCTTTTAAGTGTTTTTTAATACGTTTGTTTAGCTTCATTTAAACTTTTTGGGAAGAGCTAAAATGCACAAGCAGCAATAGTTCAACAATTTCTCTCCCTATACTAAAGTCGTTTTTATTTCAATAATAAAAAGTAAAGTTATTAAAACAAACTAAGATCGTTTTATATTACTGTCAAATGCAACAATAGTAACTTATCGGAGAACTATAATGTGTAGCTACTCCGAAACATTTCCGAAGACTGTGAAATACTCTTCTAAGTAGTAATCATTAACCCCCGACATACCTAATTGTTTCGTTCCGTACCTTTTTATACCCTCCACCATAGTATGGAGGTATATTACGTTTATCATTCCGTTTGTAACACCTCGAAATATACATTTTAGACCCCATAAAGTATATATATATTCTTGATCAGCATAAAATTCTATATCGATGTAGCTATGTCCGTCAGTGTGTGGAAATCACTCTAGCTTCCGAACGAAATGAAGTATAGGTAGATACAATTTTACTCAAATATATATGTAAGCGGCCATGTAGTTCCACGTTTTGGTATAGCCCCCATATAACGGTACCTCCAGATATTCGGTATTTTGATGCGATTATTCACCGGAATTGTTTCAAATTTGGTATTTGAAGTTCGTAATGGATATTACAGCCTATGGCAGAAAATAGTCTGTGCAGGTTCACGTCTTCGTATAGGCCCCATACAACAGTACCTCCCGATAAACGGTATTTTGATGATTTTCGCGAAATTATTTACCGATTTTTTTTTAAGTTTCGCATTTGAATATTGTAATGGCTTATGACAAAAGTTACCTATGCAGGTCCATGTCGTCGTATATACCCTAAGATAACAGCTTCATTCGGTATGTTTAAGATTTTTACACAGTTTTTAACGGAATTTATTATTATTGAGAATTGCCAAATTCGTTCCAAACGGTGGAGGGTATTCAAAGTCCGCCGAACTTACAGCTTTTTTAATTGTTAATATTAAAACTAGTAAAGTAGTGAAATGTTACTTTCGGGAACGGGACCGGAAAACTAGTAAAAATTTTAACATCAGATGGAAATCCTTCATAATTAACATTCCAGCCAATCAGAAATCGGCCATATTCCCCATGTTTGTGTGTGCTTTGTCTATTTTGCCTGTAATTTTTACTAGATTTTTATGTATGTCATAAAGTACAATATTTTAAAATTAGTACAATATAGTACTACATTGCTTTGTTCTGGAATGCAACTAATGTGTCAATTTTTATACCTTACAACACTATGTGTTGGGGGTATCATAAGTTTGATTGGGTCAAAAATTATGTAACACCTCGAAATATTGGTCTCTGACATAGGAAACTTGCTATCTGGCCGAACTGAATCGATCTAGCTATATGTGTTCGTATTTTCATGTTAATTAGTAATCACGCTACAGGTCGAAATTATTGTCCGATCCTCACGAAATTGAAGATGTAGGTGGGGTTAGGGCCACAAAAGAAGCATATTGTTTTTGTATATAGGAAACTTGCTATTTTGCTATGTGGCCGAACTGAATCGATCTAGCTATGTATGTTCGTCTTTTCATGTTAATTAGTAATCACGCTACAGGTCGAAATCACTGTCCGATCCTCACAAAATTGAAGATGTAGGTGGGGTTAGAGTCAGAAGAGAGGCATATTGTTTTTGTAGATGATGATTAAAGCGTTGAAATAGACCAAAATGTTGGTATGTCAAAAAGTACCAACATTTCTAACAAACCGCAAATATTCTTTAACCCGGCCAAATCACAAATACCTCAAAAAGGTCACTTCTAAAATAGATCTTAGTTATTCCGCTTATAAGTCAAGAACCGTTAAACTGATTTTCATAATTATCTTTGTTTCGGAATAGTCTCTTGCCAGAAAACTATAAAATCTAAGAAAATCGTGTAAAAATATGAAAATAAAAAAGGTGATTGTTTTTTTTTTTGTATGACCATTGGATTATATTTAGTTGTAAAATGGACCATAATTTTTTGTGAAATAGCTTTGAATACCTGATCAACACGACGGAGTGTGTAAATATTGGGCAATTACCCCCGGTCAAAAAGCTAAAGGGTAACATCTGGACAGGGATCTATGACATCATTTCAAAAACGAAATCTTTCAAAAAAGATTTGGACATAAAGGGGTTGTAGTGTTGCGTCACATAGTCGACTCCGCCGACGACTATGACCTTTGCTTACTTGTTTGATAAAAGGTGTGTGGCGTACATTAAGCCACTACCTTGATGACAA